CCAGGGTGCCATGCCCTGGGCCTGCACCCAGAGGTGGGTCTCCAGCTGGGGGATGTGAGACAAGGCTCTGCAGAGAAGGGCCCATGGATGGTCCCCATGGCAATGCCACCAATGCCATGTCCTGGACCGTGTCAGCCAGGCCAGAGCCAGCAGGGTGAGCCAGGGGCTCTGTTCTGCACCGGGCGCTGGTGAGGCCAAAGCGGTTTGGTGTCCCTCAGTCCAGTGAGGACAGTGGAGGCCGTTGAGATGAATGGGTCTGAAGGGAAGGAGCCCAAGGAGATGCCAAGAATTGGTCAAGCCTGGGGGAGGCAAAGCGGGGTTAGACAGGAGATGAGGCCAGAAGAGGTGCCCCAGGAAAGAAGGCGGCCACAGGGTACCCTGCTGCAAAACTTCTCCTACCCCATGATATCTCCAAGGGAGACCAAAAGGGCTGAAGGGGAAAGAAACAAAAGGCTAGAGAGTGTCTAGGGGGGACCACATGGTCCAAGTCCAGTGGCCACTTTGCCTTCTCCTCCTGTATTACAGCCATATAACCACAATCTGCCGAGCCCCGAGCACTGCGGTTTTGTTCCTGCTGGGGCCAGTTGTGGCACTGTCAGGGGAGGGCAGGACGTGCCTGCCTGCAGCTTGCGGGAGAGCAGGGAGCTACAGATGCTGCAGCCTTCAGCCGTGTGGGATCCCGGGACAAGCTGCTGCCTGTCCTACACAGCTCCAGGCCCACAAACCATCCTTTCCCTGCTCTCCTCACTCCCACATCACCCGAAGGTGCAAGCAACTTTCCCTGTTTAATTAACCCTTCATTATTGCCAAAAGGAGCTCTGCCAACGCCACTGGCCAACCCGGACTAGATGGCAGCTGAGGAGGCTGGAGGCCAGGCTCCGGGTGTGGTGGAAGGGAGCAGTTACTTGGAGTAAGGACCTTGCTGTTGCTCCAGCGTAGGACTGGGAAGGCCTGGGTGGATGAGGAATGGGGCCAGCCCTGTGGGGTGGATCCAGACCTCCAGGTAGGAAATACTGCTGTCCCTCCTCCAATGAAGGCCACTATATGTCAGTGGGACAAAACAGCCCCTGAGGAGGCCAAAAGGGAAGCCAAGTGACTTCCCTCTTATTCCACTCTGTGGAGCCACCAAACCTGCCCCACAGCCAAGGGGAAGAGCACAGCTGGGACGTAGCCTACGGCTGGACCCAGTGTCCTTTCCCCCTCCACCACTGGGTCTGCACTGCAGCGGGGGGCACCATCCAGGGTTTCTGGGCACGGTGAGGGGGCATGACACGGTGCAGAGGTCTTCCTGGGCCTCGGTGAGAAAGGCCTGACAACAAATGGAGTAATAAAATGTCTGTTTTAATGGCATAGAATAAAAAAGAGGACTATTGATCACAAGTAAACCTTACGCCACTTCAGATGCTGGGCACACCTCCACAGACGGGATGTGCACAGCATGCCGTGGGAAAATCTATCCAGGGTCCGCCAAAGCTGCAGGAAAGCAGGGTGCCCTGCCTCCTGCTATCTATAGTCCCCTTTTTATTCTGTCTTATTAAAACAGCTGTTTTATGAAGCCACTTGTTGGAGCTTTCTCACTGAGATTCACAAAGTCCTGCGCTGCCTCTTTTCCCCGCCCCAGTTGCAAAACATTACCCTATTTCACAAGAGCTGAGAGGAAGCCATTTCCCCATCAAGTGACCAGAGCAAAGGAAGAGAAACAAAAAGCCCCAATAGCTTCTCTCCTAAGGTCCGTGGGATCCTGAGACCACGTCGTGACGGGTACCCAGCCCTGGGCAGGTGACTGGGACGTTCTGGTTCCAGTTCAACCATCCTGGCCCTGCAATTGTGTCTGTGGAAACCCAAACCGTGGGACAGAAAGTGGCTTGTGGCAACGAGGGCATATCAGGACCCAAAAGAAGCCACCCAGCTGCTCAGCGCCTCCGGCCAAAGCCTTCCTCCGAAGAAGCCCTGCTTGAGCCGAGTACGGAGGGTGCCAAGAAGGACGTGATGCTGCCCGTGACCCATGTGCTAGCCTTTGGTGAGTGCCAGAGGCTGTGCGGGCTCCCAGAGGGTGACATGAGGCACCCAGAGACTCCACAGAGATGTTACGTGGCTGTTTCTCTTGCAGGTACTTGGCTGGTGGCACAGAGCAAGGCTACACCAAGTGAGTATCATGAGGAGGTAGATGGGGAGTTTGGACACATATCTGGTCCCCCACCCATCTCTTCCCCAGTCCTGCAGAACAAAACTCGCCCTTGTGTGGAGATGGGGCCTGGAGCCAGCTCCAGGCTCACCACAGGGCAGCCGGGGGCTGGGGACTCCTCCCTGTCTGCATCTCTCTGCCTGCGCAGGTGCCCTCACGGTCTCCATCTTCCTGAAGCCACCTGGGGTGATCGCACCGGGAGGCTCCACCACCATCTGCTGCAGTTGCCAGTGTGACAATGGGAACTTTGTGCTGTACAAGAAGGGCCACTTGTTCCGTACCCTGAAGCTTCGTGGCAGCAGGGCCGAGTTCTCCATCTCTAATGCCACCAAAGAGGACACAGGTCCCTACAGCTGCCATTACACGGATGGAGACACTGTGCTGGCTCGCAGTGAAACCCTGGAGGTCACGGTGCACGGTGAGGGAAGTGCTGTTACCCCTTCACACGGGGTCAGATGCCACATGGGCAGATGAGGATGCACGTAGCAACTTGGCTTCCCCATCCATGTGACGGGCAGGGCTTTTCCTCTTCTTCCCTGGCCTGGAGAGGTGGGGACTATCTTCACCCCTGCCTGAGCCAGGTGGTGGAGTCATGGAGGTCCCAGTGGCTGCCGGCACCCTGCCAAAGCCCTGCACGACTTCTCACGCCCTCTCCTCTCCCCACAGAGTTCCGTCTCCCCACACCTGAATTCTCTGTCCTGCCTGGGCCTGAGGTGGCTGCAGGAGCTCACGTGACTTTCCGTTGCACCATCGAACACTCCAGTGCTGGCTGTTTCCTGTACCTGGAGGGCCAGGTCAAAGCCAACTTACTCTCAAACAAAGAAGACTTCAACATCTCCCATGTGCATAAAGGCAATGGGGGCCGCTACAGCTGCCAGTGTTTCTCCAAGGTTGTTTCGTTGGAATGGTCTGCTGTCAGCAAGACCCTGGATTTGGTGGTGAGAGGTGAGACATCCCCCCAGCCACATCCTACTCTTTTCTTCCTCTCTGGCATCTGCCACATCTCGGGGGAACTAGAAAAGAGGATATGGGGGAAGAAAGCAGCTGTAACAGGGGTCCAAGCAGAGGATTACAGCTTCCTTCAGATGTGGTTGAGCCTTGCCAGCTCCTCAGAGGCCCTACAGATGACCTACAGACCCTATAGACACAGCGTTGCTAGTTGGTGGGCAAGGGCCAGGGGACACCTACGCCTGCACCTACCAGCCCCAGGGACAGTTGGACCTCTCATCGCAGCCCAGTCACACCGTCAGGCTGGCAGTAGCGGCAGGTGATGGCCAGCTCCATATTCCTGTCCTCCTCCCCATCTTTGGTGCCACTGGGTGGGGTGACAGGTCAGAGACTGTGGGAAGGGGGTGTCCCAGGGGGCAGGGATGTGGGAGGTAGAGCCGACAGGAGCCCTTGAGGCTCCCTTTGCTCCCCATGAACTCCCCTTTATCCCTCTTTCTCCCAGGAGCTCCTCAGCACCCACATGTCTCTGCCCCAGGTGCACCACGGTGTATCCCTTCTGTCCCCATGGGTCCCCTGTTGTCCCCATGGGATTCCTTTGGTCTGGGAGCTCCCGGGGGGGCTCATCCCAGGGGTCCCCAGTGACTGTCCCTTCCTGTCCCTCGCAGATTACACCTGGAGCAATGTGGTGCGCCTGGCCCTGGGG